CTAGTGTTTGTAGTCTATCTTCTATATATATATATATATATATATATATATATATATATAATTTAAAAATACTAAATATATTGAAAATTTTTTTCTAAATGTTGTTTAACCGGTAGAATCGATCAAAATTAGACAATCAAACTGGTCAAAATTGGTCAAATACTAATATTGAATAGTTTTTTACCAAATGTGATTTTTATCTTAGACAAGACCAATAAACAAAAATTCAGCCATCGTGCCGTCTAGGCGGCCTTACTGACAAACACTTAGGCGATGGGATCTAAGAGGACATGACTAAGGTGGGTGCTTAGGCAATGAAAGCGGGTGCGTAGGCACCCACCTAGGGTCTATGTGCTCTCTTACATATGAGAAGAAGAAGAATAAGAAGAAGAACATGGACTCTACATGTTCGGTGCGTGACCTTTCTCTCTCACACATACACACACAAAGATACATGAACCCATATGCTCCCTCTTTACATGTTAGAAGATGACCTCCAAGTGTTTGATGTGAGGTCTCTCTCTCCATATCCTCCAAGTATTCGAGACCCCTCTCTGACAAATACATATCCAAAAAAAAGAAGAAAAAAAGGATGATATTTAAGAATTTCATGCGAGACTTCATACATGCACACATATGTGTGCATGCACCTATATATACATACACAATTACAACACACATAAAACGTATGTCCCGCAACCCAACCGCCTTCCTTTAGGGCCGCCTAAGTATCTGGGCGCCCGCCTAGGTGGTTGCATCCGTCGTTTTGAACATTGAATCAAACTACACACCAGTTGACAGTCTGATCGATCAGGCCGAGTGGTTATGTTTGGCTTCCCAATCTGTAACTACCAGGTTATGGTATATTTCATTTTTAAATGTAGTGACAAAAAGTAATAAAGAGTTAAATAAATGTTAAAAGCATTGTAGGGCAAGGAAGAAGCCATCATGGCCTAGTTAAGAAAATGTGATATAGCCTTGGGGAAGCCATCACCAAGAGGGAGAGAGATTCGTGTCGGAGAGTTCTGTAACCAGGGCCATGTTCCAATTTCTTTGTGTGGGCTGGCTGATTTAAACAAAATGGGAAATTATTCAGTAAATATATGCCCGGTATTCAACAAAATGGGATTTTTTTTTTTTTTTTTTGGTGTTATATAAACCGTATTCAATAAATATTATATATCTATTATCTAAACTATCACAATCATGAATTTAAGAATAAATATTGAGTCTTCATAATGGTCTATATTGTATTTCTTTTGAGATTGTTTATTTTAATTCTCCCAATATCATAATATCTGCATTGTATTTAGAATTTCAATTTCAATTTCATGAATTTGAGATGTGTTTTTCTATTTCTTTCTTTAATGTAACTGGAGATGTGTTGAGGCCCATATATGATTTTCTCTCAAGGTTAGGGTTTAAGTATATCGTGCACTGGGGTATTCACCATTATAGATTTCTCCCTATCAAAATCCATATAAGATTAGATGTATCCATAATTGTATATATAAATAAATATATAGACATGATATATCACTAGTTCAAAATCATTGTATATGGTTGCGTTAAAACTTGTGAAAAAGGCATTATATTTTTAAAACCATTATATTTTTAAAACTATTAATTCAATGTTTTTCCTTAAAGTATTAAGAGTTAGAACCGCTAATGAGGATTTTTTTTTTAATGGGTGTTAAAAGAATCATTTAATAGGTCAAAACTCGTAACAAATCACTGTGGTCAAAATATTAATTTGATTGTTTATCTTTAATTTTGATTTTACTTTGAGTTCTCCTAAAAAATATACTAAAATGCTCAAATTGCCCCTGGTAGAAGCATTTTACCAATTTGATCTATTATTTGGTTGCAGCCTTGGGGTCTCTTAGGTGGGGTCAAATTACTAGAATACTCATGCTTATTTAGGTTCTCAACCTTAATAGGGGCAATTGGGGTACATTTGTGGACATTTTTTTAGGAGGTACTTTAGTAAAATGAAAATTAAAAAGGACCTTCTAATATTAATTGAGATGCTTCCAGTCCTTGATAATTTTTCATGATTCTTTAGAAGATACTTTTCCCATATATAATACCCTTTTATTTATATAAAATGTATAAAAAAAAGTTATATATATATGGTGTGATTGGTGTGATGAACCATCCTAGCCTTCTATTCTAATAAAATGGGAGAGGCAGATGTCACAAAGTTCAAAATTTTTTTTTGTTTTTGTTTTTTTAACTTTAAGTCTTATCAATAACACACTCACAATTATTTGAAATTTAACAAACAAGAGTGATTGTAACTTGTTTCTATTAAACGTAAATTGTATTTTTGTATACTTTTCTATTGTATATTATGATCGTGTAGCATACAAACTAACGCTATCTTTCAACAAAATTTAGAGACGTGCCTCATTTGCTTAGTGTAAGGGTGGGCACCTTATACAAACCTCACCCACTTTTTAATAGATATTTTTAAATTAAATAATAAAATACATGTATACTATTAAAAGGATTGTATGTTATAACACCATTCATTTTTGGTACAAGGTGGTCACAATCATTGTTACCCATTCATTGTGAATTCTTATGGATCGAGGTGTGCTACAATATTCAATAACGTTTATTTTGAACTTTGTGCAGTTAGTGACGTCCCCAACTACTTGATTTTATATGTAATGGTCATTGATGATTGTGATCTTTTTATACAAAAAATAAATAATCTCATTATATATATTTCTAATATTACATAGTTCATTTCCCATTGTATTTTAAATAATTTTCCCTTTTCATAACAAAGGAAAAGTGAAGTTTGTTTAAAAGGGCACACTTCTACATGTGCTTAGCTGATGCGATTAACATCCATCTTTAAGACATATATTGCAAAGGTGGTGGTCCCACAAATATTTTAATTCAACCGCCTAGAAATATACATAAAAAGTTATTATTCTTGTTTTAAAAAAAGTATTTATTTAATTTTTTATATTCACGATTCACCATGGCATGGATTATCAACCAACTCATAGAAACATTGTTTTTAAATAAAATGGATGCAGCATCTATAAGGCCTAGGCTTTATAAAAACAAAGTAAAGCTTCAATTAGAAACCTCATCTAGAAAGTAATCTGGAGTGGATATCAGAAATCACAATGATAACTTCTAAAAATGAATTTTCAATATTAACTATGAAATTTGAAGCTTAAAAAATATTAAAAATCTTGCAAATATATGTGAAGGACAAAATAGATTTAAATAATGTATTACAATACGCATTATTTTTAATGCTTCAAATCTTTTTTTTATGAGTAATGATCCTACGAGATCCTTTCACACTCATGTGTGTAGGACCTCAGAGGATTATCATTAATGTTGACATAGATATTTAAAAAATTATCACATAGATGTGAAATTTTATTTTTAAAAAAATTTATATTAAATTTAATGGTGATCTTTTGAGATCCTACACACATATATGTAAAAAATTTTGATAAGATTATTACTCTATTTTTATATAATCACAACGATAAAAGCCAAGATGATCACGTTAATCAATTCGAAGATTTTCTTACACCAAAACTACAATTTTTAATGAGGTTTGAGGTGAAACTTGATAGGACAGCATACGTGTCAAAATAAGTAAATTTTGGTTATACACTTTCGCAGCCCTCTTGAGATCGCCACCGGCCAAAGCCTTTGTTGCAGTTCATGGGCAAGCATGTCAATCTGGTAATTGAAATAGGACATTTTAGGCATCAAAACTTATCCGCCTTTTTCGTATGGAAAATTGTTTCCATTGGGCTGGACCGCATTTCTACATATGTGATCCATAAAGTGTAATACATACATCTTAAATATAGATGCACGTAAGTGTTTCATTTAAAGGCAATAGGAACTAACGGTTCACATGTTTTTTTTATTAAAATTATTATTTTTAATTTTTTAAATTTATTAATTTTTTATATTTATGATTTTCATGTTAGAGATTACAAGTCCTTAAAAATTAAATCTTAAAATTTATCTCAAAAATAAATTTATTAAGAGTCTCGTATTTATATATATGCGGACTTGACGGGATAGAAACTGGGTCCTTTATCGTCTTTACAAGAGATGACCCATCAGGATAACTGTTAAAAATTACAAAATCCCCCTTGAATTAATTTTCTTTACAACTTCTTTCCAAATAATTTTTTTCTGGCAACTTATATCAAAAAAACAATTTTTATAGCAAAAGAACACGGTTTCTATGCAGCCAGGCGTGCATATGTAGAAATGCGGCCTTCTTAATAAACCTATTTTTGAGATGGATTTTTGGACTTAATTTATAAAGACATGTGATCTCTAACATGGAGATCATGAACATAAAAAAATAAATGAATTTTAAAAACTAAAAATAATAATTCTATCAAAAAAACATTTGGACTGTTAATTTCTATTGTTTTTAGATGGAACATATGCCTATGTCTATCTTTAATATGCATGCTTTATACTTTTTGGAACGCATATATTTTCAATCTAACCTGGGTGAAATAAAAGATAAAAATACCATTATATGTACATGAAAAAGCACCACATTCCATAAACGTCCAATCACCAAAGAAGGTTACCTTTGGAAAAGAACCCATATCACATTAATTATTAGACCAAGCAACAATCTGCCGGACCGAGGTATAATAGACCGACAAAATTTCCGGACTGTAACAATAATCCGCAAGACCACATTTAGAAGTATCGAAGCGAGGATCATAACTGTCTCATCGTATTTACAAGTTCCGGACTGCTTGCGCTCTACCGCCAAAAAAACAAACTTTTTTACTTAGAGGGATATCGGCTATAAAAAATTACTTTGGTATACAAGTTTGGACGATAAAAATTGGTTCAGGCCCCTAGGGGAAGTTTGTGCCGGTATTCATACGTAAATAAACAAGGAGTCTCAGGGTTATTTCTGAGATTCAGGAAAACACAGAGGGCCAACTTTTTATGGTCTTAAAGATATCCTTATCGAAACACGCACGCGCTCTGATTGCGTCGAGTCTTTGGGAGAGAAAATCCAAATTCTGGGAGCGGAGATTGAAAGAGCTCAGAACTCTGGAGAGAGAAACCCAAATGTGCTGATGCCCCCATGGCTTTGATGGAGAGAGAACCCTAGAGAGCGAATACGATACGTGTCGCTGCTCAAAACCCTAATGTGTTGACCATTGGAGAAACCATCGGCGCCGCGCCCACTCTTGGAGGTAAATCTCGACTTTACATAGGAGAGGGAACCTGAAATTTTAGAGAGAGAGAGAAATGGCTTTCGAGGGTGTGGGAGACATGGTTCTTCACCTGATCATAGAGAAATTAGGGCCAAAACAAACGGCCGCCATATCCTGTCTGAACAAGCATTTTAAGGCAGTGGCCTCAGATGAAGTCATTTGGTCTCAGTTTTGCTCCTCAGATTTCCAAATTTCTACACCTCAAGATCCTCTGGGCAAACCCTGTTCTTCATTTAAGGTGATTCTTATCCCATTTTCCCCTCAAATTCGTGGATTTTTCTTTGTTTTTCATGATAAAATCTCATTACTTTTGCTTTATTTTCTGTGAATTTTGGATATGTCATCATTTTTTATGGGGAAGATTGCACGCTATCATGGGCTAACTCATGCAGCCAAGGTTCACAAACTCAGCCTCTTGCGGAACCTAGTACTCGTGTACGACTCGGGTTGACTTAAAAATAAAATAAAAATCTAAAATTATATTCAACAGTTGAATCAATGTATAAATAGTTTATATGTAATTGGGATTTTTTTAGAATGATTTGTGAGCTATTCTTGTCGTACGCCCTACTTAAATAATAATTTTCTCTTTTTTATGGATATTTTGAAATGTCGACTGTAAATTATTTTTTTCTAAATCCATGTTTAATTCCATTTTTATTCAGCTTATTTGTATTATTATTTTTTATGTTGTTTTTGGTTTAGTTTTATTTTTACTTATTTTATTTCTAACAATTTTTTAATCTCCCTTTTATATTCTTAGAGCTCTTTGGTCATGTACCTCGGGCAAGAGTAGCTAGGCTCGGGCCAGGGCTGCAGAAATTAGGCATTGAACACACAAACACACCAGTGTTACTGATTCTTATATCATCTATGGCTTGAGAAATTCATGATCCAAGATGTGCTCTTGGTAACAATTATCAGTATCTGACTGTCTGATCTATAAGCTGCTTTGGCATTATATTCTTGGTGATGGTTCTTCTTATGGAAATCTTATCATGAATTGTTTGATTAATTTGTAAGTGAACAGCTATCCTTTGCACTATATAATTAATTTTTGGCTTAAGAAAAATGGGGACAAGGAAGGATTTAAGCTGCATTGAGTTTTATGAACAAATTAAAACTAAGGTGAACTTTCTTAAGAAAATGTTTAAAAAGAATATTTCAAACTGTATTTGACTTCTTGTGGGAAGTTGAATAAAAAGATAAAAATGGTTCACCATGACTAAAACTGATATAATTTTAGTAAAGTTTTTGCATTGATCAATTTTCTGGGGATGATCCAAAACATTTGGGAAAACATGTTATTAATCCTCGGACTTTAACAAACCGGAATGATCTGAAAATTGGAGCACTTTTACATCTTAGGCGCACCTAATAAAAATATGAAAAAAATAATTCGCAAAATATGAATTGACCAAAATACCCCCATAAATTT